AAAGGTTTGATTGATGACGCTTAATGTAGCGGGTAATTAGTTCTGCTTCGCCTGTTAGCCAAGCGAGATTGCACTTAAACGCGTTAAGGATTTAACCTTGCATCCCGACGGATATATATACATACTCTCGATCTGTCTTCCTCTCTCGCGTACTTACTATTAACGATCCGTTTTTTGCGGATCGAGTTTTAGCGATTTGTCATTATGCTCCGCTGAAAATCCCAGCGACATGAATAATTCCGCGGCAAATTCTAGTCAATCTCGGAATCAATTTGTTTTTCGCTGGAAACTAAAGGTATTGGAAGTGTAAAAATAATGTTTATAAAATTAAGTTACAGTTAAATGATAATGTGTCAAAAGTTACAACATTTAATAAGAAATTAAAGCGGCCCTAGACAATATTATTGTACAATATAAAATATTATGCAATATTATTGATCGTCCGAAAGCTATATTGAGCTTCCAGACTGTTTGTTTTGAATTCATATCAATGATATTATATACAAAATAATTACACAATAATATTGAGCGTCTAGAGATCCCTTTAATTCTTTGAATATCATAATTTTCAATGTGTAATAATATTAATCTTTAAGAAATATACAAAGTTCTTCACAATAAATGAATGTCACTTCGGTCCATTCGTTCGATTCCTTTTGTTTCCACTGGTTAAACGTTTCCTGCGAAAAACCGGATGTTTCTTGTCTCTTCGATCGCAACCTCGCTTCGCGATCGTGTTACTTGACAAAGGTTAAGCTTTTCATCTCGGCCTCTCTCGCTGAGATACGCATCCTGCCGAGAGGAACATTAAATCTGGCGATACGCTTTTGACGTTCCACACGAACGTCACGTATCGCACTCATGTGGAGTCACGGCTTCTTATAAATTCAGGGTGGCCGTGTATATAGAGCACAACTTGTCTCACTCTCTCTCTCTCTCTCTCTCTCTCTCTCTCTCTCTCTCTCTCTCTCTCTCGCTCTTCTCGCCTCGCAGCTTGTATATTTACACATTCCGACGGAGCTCGACGTAACGCAGGACGCCCAGCGCCGCGACGCTTTTCGCGCTCGCGTCCCGTTGTATATTTCTTCAAGCACGCGCACGCGCCGCCGTGTATATCGCACGCACACGACTGGGAACGAGACACGCACTCGTCGGCGGTCACACGGCAGTGTGGTCGCCGCCACTCCGAATTCGATCGCGGGAACGACGTCGTTATTTTTCGCCCCGGGCCAACCGCAAAAATAAAGAATGTCAGGCGAATTGCCGGCGATCGCACCGACAGATATAATAGGCGCTGCCACAAAGTTTTTGTTCTTCCTGACAGAATCGATTCGGCGCTGTCATGGCATTCGACTGGTACCTCGATCTCAGAACTGTTTGTAAAGTATTCTTCTTCTTTTTTTGTGAGGTAAATAGTATTTAAGAAACGATACAGTTTTGTACGTAGACACTTTGAATTTCTCATTGATTTAATAAAATTAAAAAGTATAATATATGGATCCAAATTGATCGAAGAATCCGAGAAGATGAAGCAGTATTGAGGGAAAATTGTTTGGTATTTATGACTGGTAATTGCATGGTAAAATGATTATGGTAAAATGATTATTAGGAGCTCCTTTTTTATAATTATTATTGCTTTGATGTTAATAATAATAATAATTATAGTTTATACAAAAAATATCTATAATTATTATTACTAACATTATAGCAGTAATAATTATTAAAAAAAAGCTTCTAACCATAAACATTTTACCATGTAATTATAATCACAAATACTAATGAGAAGAATATTTGTAGAATATTCCAACATTTTAGTTAGAAAAGAGCATCGTGTCGATTAACAAATAATTCGTATTTTGCTGGATCGCATTCGTGTGAACGAGAGATGCTTAAAAAAACGAATTTAATTTACGAGAGACACGCATGCATGTACAATATATTGAGATAAGCGAAATTATTTTTCTATAAAAATATTAAACGATACTCACGCGACACAAACGGTGGACGGTATTGAAACAACACACAGGCGAAGATAATTGAAAACATATGGATGGAAAGACAATGAATAATGCTCGTAACGTACCGCTACGTTACAAAGTGTAATTTTCTGATTTTTATTCTCGCTGATGGTAATTCAAACCTCACGTGGTGGCGACAGCTGTGACCGTCGCGTATACCGCGTATTATTTTCCCTTAGGAGATCGCATAGATTATCGTCTGATGAAGCGCGAGTAATGTCACACCGTTTCTCACCGTGTCAGCAAGTGCGCGATGACGTTTTTCCCGCGATGACGCTCTCTCTCTCTCTTTCTCTCTCCTCTCGTCTCGTCTCTCCGCGTGATTTAAACATTTTTACGTGCATTGTGATACCGCGCACGGGAATTCGCCACGCTGTTCTTTTGCACGCATTATCTCTTCTTTCTCGTCGATCACGTCGATCGGGCGACAAAATCCTGCATCGCAACTCGGTATCTCGCTCTATTGAAAGTTACGTAAATTGCTCGGTATGCAGTACTAATTGAACGCATACAAGATGCAGGATTCCACACACACACACACACACAATTTCATTCCGTTATCATAATTTCGTTGTGGCCCGCGAGAAACTCTTTACTTGTCAAACTTGAAAGTTCTCTGAAAAGAAGAAGTCTTCGTTCCGCGAAGAGTTGATCTTTTGGTTCTGTATTTATCGCGATGGACGAAATTTAAATTCGTAATTATAACCGTCTCAATTCTTCTTGCTTGTTGCGAAATTTAAATTCGTTTTTTCTTCGTTTACGCGAAAGAACGATTTTGTTGAAGTATCTAAAAATTTAGCTAGATGTAGACCCGAACATAATTTTGTTCGACTATCAAAATCATTTTGTAGGATGTTCAAACTGGTTGCTAGAATGTCCAAACATTTTATAGCAACTGAAATTGTTATGTAATCATTTAGGTGGTTCAACAAAATTATTTTCAAATTTATCATAATACAGAAAAATAATAATAGAGAAAAAATGATTTTGCTAAAATATCTAAAAATTTAACTAGATACAGATCTGAAAAAAATTTTGTTAAATCAAAATAGATATAAGACACTCAAACTATAATTGCTGAAGTATCAAAACTTTCTATAGCATTGCTCGTCATGCTTGAGATTCTTACATAATTATTTTTGATGGCCCAACAAAACTTTTCAGATCAGTATCTAGCTGGATTTTTAGATACGTACTTTAGCAAATCATTCTTTCTATGTTAATTATCACGTGTGGATCTCGGAATTGAAGAAAAGAGGCAGAGCGTATGTTAGACTCTGAGAGTCTTTACGTCACAATTTTCTACTTTACACGTCCATCATTTCCAGCTGCTGTCGAGGTGACCTCTCGAAGGCCGAGGATGTTTTTCCCATAGATCCGCTATTTCACGAAGGATTCGATGGTATCGCGCACCGTCGTTTTGCCATGATCGCACCGTACACACGTGCGTGACGTTTGAGGGCAAAGTGGGGAGGACTGGAAAAAAAAAGGGTTCTGCGAAGCGCTTAAACGCGCCTCTCTCGTCTTTACGTGAAAGGACCCGGACGATCGTGTCTGAGAACGCAAGACTACCGTGTACCGTGGGACTCGAATTTTAATCCCGCACGCGAATGAGGATCGTCGCTCCGACAACACTCGACCTTCCCTTCCATCCCTCCCGTCTCTCTCCTCGGTCACCTCCTCCAAATTCCGTGGCGTGGAATTTCGCCGTTCTGTGTGCTACCGCGTGTACGATGGGACGCGAAATGAGTGTGGGCGAGGTCGGTATATCGTGGCGAAAAAGGAGGTCTTACGATGAGGAAGACTAAAGATGGGAAATCTTCATTATACCCTACCTTCGGAATATATGCTTGAGAATGTAATAATTATAACCATTATATTTAATAGAATTAGAATTGGCAAAACTTCTCACAAATAAGATTAATACTAAAATTACAAGAATTCGTTTCAACTCCTAGGCTCTTTTTCAATGAAAATTTAACATTCGTCTTTAAAATTAATCTGTAATTAAAAATTATATCCTATTATAAGAGGCGTTCGAATCTCATCGTGATTTCTGTGTTTCGAATTTGACAATTTTTATTTCGAACATTACACATCCAATTATTTTGCAAGAAAAAATCTCTCGTTACCTAAGATATTTATTTAAATAATTTTTATTTAAAAGTATATATATCTCTTTTAATATTAACATTATTTAAAGACTCGTTTTCGAGTCGTGCAATCGCAGATTTTTAATAAAAATTCCGCAAAGTAAATACGATAATTACTGAGAACGAAATATACATTCAAAGTCACTTCTATCGCTCGGAAAGCTCAAGGGTACCTTTAATTAAATTCGAATAGGTAGTTAATTTCAATAATAACGTGCGTCTGAGAGCGCTTCGAAACGTGAACGAAAATGCGACGCGCGATCCTGGGAACTTTGGTGGCGGTACTCGGGAATAAAGGAGGCGTTAAGAACAAGACGCGAACCATTACCGCGTTATTGCATAATGGATAATTACGAGAGCCGGAGAAGTAAGATAAACCTCGTTTTACTTGCTCGCTCATTACGTTTCCCTCAAACCTCGTGTCCCGCGTGTACGATTCGCGTAATTCTCGCGTCGTTCACGCAATTCCATGTATATTGTTTACTCTGTATCATTAGTCGTTAATTGATAACGAAACTATTATCCCTGATAATTGAGGAACGTTAAGAGAAGGAAACGATTGATGAGTTACACTAAAGAAACGATACAAAGTCAGCAGTTTAAACTTCTTTAAACAACAAATAATATCTTTTTTTTTTTAATCAGCCGGTAATTTTGACTTCGTAAAAAAAAACTTCGTTTTCCTTTTATATATACATATATAAATAAAAAGCGATTTGCAATTATGGGCACTGTTAATTTGTTGAAAATAACAACGCTGATTCCTAGCGAAGTAGAGTACGTGGCGTATCGAGCCTGATTCGAATCGTTCCAGTTGGTGCTGCCATCTGGCGAGGCGGTTACTGGCGCGAAGTACGACGCAGTTCGGTTTTCACCGAGAAAGAAGCGGCAGTCGGCGCGATGGCGAAGGAAGAGGTGGAGGAGGAGGAAGAGGAGAAGAAAGAGAAGGAGACGGCGGCGGCAATGGCATCCGTGACTGGACACTGCATATGATTTCACGGTAAGTGGGCCCTGTCTTATTCGTGGGTAGAAATCGTAAAGATCTCGCGTGGATATCCGCCGCTAAATTGGATTGCAGCTACCTGCGTCTATCCTCTGTCCTCCTCGTCTCTGTCTGTCTCACTCCATCTTTGTCTTTCTCTCTCTCTCACTTCTCTGCGTTGTCCCCTTTGACTCATTCCCTTGCGCTCTTTGTCACGGCCGGCGCAACTGCGCCGTTTTATTTCGACTTTACTCACGCGCTCTCGTTAGCGATGCGACGATCGAACGGGCGAAGAGAAACCGTCGGCCGCCGACACGTCGTAAAACGCAACCGCGACGCAACGCCTTGAAGTTTCACCGGAGGCGCGACGAGGAAGATCGGGAAAATGGCGCCTTTCGCGGCTTTGCTCACGCGACTTGGAGACTTTTTTTTTTATGTTTGTCACTTGGCTTAGGTCTGTCAGCAGGCTACTGAGATTTAAAAAATTCTACCTCGACGCCGCACAATTCGCGAATTTTGCTGAAATTTAGATGAAGTTGGAATCGAAATTTCTCGACATGCTGAACACGACACTCCGAGTGTCTCTTCTGACATCGAATATTATTTAAACAATAACATTCAGCGTTTGAAAAAAATCTTGCTGAAATTTAGGCAAAGTCGATCTCAGAATTGAAATTTGTCGACATACTAAACGTGACATTTCGATTTTTCGTCTGACATTGGACACTATCTAGACAACGTTCAGCCTTCAGCCTTCTTTAAAAAAAAAAAAATGTGTGATAAGAGTATGAATCCTTACATTACATTTGAAGCTGAGAGGACTCCCGCGCTGGACAGCGATTGCATCATACGCTGCCAAGATAATAATTTACAAGCGTGATCTCGAAACTGCGTGCGGTACGCAATGCGCGTTGATCTATTTTCTGCTTGCGTCATTTTTGTTCCAATAGCCTCTCGCGTAACCACGCATAAGACTCGCGGCAATACATCCGACATACGTGACACTCCGTTAAACAACCGCGGTAAATAATTTTCGCCGACATTAATCGTAACATATTGACAAAACTCGCAGGAACGCGGGCGGTCGGCCGTTTAGCACGCCAAACGTACATCATGAATGCGTGACAAACCAAGAGAGAGAGAGACTGTAGCCTCCGAGAAGGCTGAGAAGGAGAGAGAGAGAGAGAGAGAGAGAGAGAGAGAGAGAGAGCGAGAGAGAGAGAGAGAGAGCAAGGAAGGAGAGAGAAAGAGAGAGAGAGAGAGAGAGAGAGAGAGAGAGAGAACACTAAGTTATTCCGGCCGCAAGCGATTTGATGGTCGATCATCATGTACGAAACCAAGGGATGAACAATGTGACTCTGATCGCTCGATCTTGTACATTTAACGCTAGCATTATCGTCGGATAATTCGCCTGAGGATCGCCTTGAGCGTCGGGCTCCGAAACGCATCCACACCCCGAGGCGCATCCTGATGCATTAAGCGTGTGTGAGTGTATGTATGTGCGTGTGCGTTTGTGAGTCAAAGCGCCATGTGGAATGATTTACATTCGAGACACATTTCCCGTCGTCCACAAGAGAACGTCGTGCTCGCGTCTTTCCTGGATCGGAGACATCACGGCCAATCGTTGGCGATTAGCCGTATCGCAGATGAATAACAGCTCGTTCACTGTTGATATAAATAAACGTTAATGCGTTATTTGACGCGACCGAAATTTTGATACTTCCCACGCACGCACGCACGCACACATCCATATTCGTTAATGTTACGTTTTGAGGATTCATGAGAAGAACGCGAGTAGGAGAGCGTTTTTCTGGAACTCGCTTTGGAGCTCTCGTGGACCAACACAAAGAAAAGATTTATAGCTATAAGAGTAGACATTTGTGACTAAATGGCTGCATTCAACGGAAAAAGTGGCTTTGCAATTGTAAAATTTTTGTAATATGATTGATTCTTACACTTAGTTTTTTACGTATTTAAATGTATAAATCGATCGCATTAAAAAATCTTACAACAGTTGCAAAGCTGTTTTTTCCTGCCGAATGTATATCTATAAATTTCGTGTGTGCGGTTTATTTAGATTTTCGTGAAGAAGGGCTCGATGTATACGTTATGCCGCGGAATACAAATGTTCAAGCGATTCAACAGAATCATCATTTATTTCCTTTCCCAGTTTCATTTATACCACTCGAATCATCGTCCGCATGACGACAATGCAAAAATATTCACGATCACTGATCAACATCTCAACTCGCGCATTTCGAATTTCGATCACGACCACCAATCTCATCGTGTTGCTTTTTGTGTCAGAAATCGACTCCACTTCGAACTTACACTCTGTAATTTTTTTCATATTGCCTCCATCACCTATATTTCGTCTCCTCTTTTTCTCTTCAGAATCTCTTCCTGTTTGTCTTCCTCGTCGCCGTCGCCATCGCCATCATTCGAGCGTTTCGGTAGCCATGCAAATGGCATGTCGAAGTTTTAATTCGCCAATTGCGCGCAACAAATTTTACATTTCCACCCGAATGATCGACCTACGATGGTTTCTTCTCGTCACTCCTGTTTGCTCCTCTCTCATCTGGCAAACAATCTTGGATCGGAACCCTCGAATCGTCTCTGACTCGCTCGGCAAGCTCTGTAATTTACGGTTTTGGCTCATGCTTCCATCGAGGTGGAGTAATGACAGGTCGATCGGCTCCGGGCTACCATCTTTACCGGTTTCCGATTGCCCCGTCTCTTGTCTGCCTTACGTCGCCACTTTCGATTCCTCGCGATGACGATTGCTCAAACGATCTTTCACAGGTTTTGGATTCTGAATTGTGTAGACCACCGATGAAGAACCCATTCGTTGTCATTCTTGACACTTCTCTCTATATTCAATTAGCGGTATACTTTAGGAATGATTTGGTAGACATATCGCCGGAAATTATGTATCTCGAAGAAATCCATTCGTTACGAGAGTATCAAAATCGATTTTCAGTATGCAAACTTGCATACTGTTAATTAGCGATCGTTAATTTTAATCGTCGAAAATTTAGGAACATCGCCAAATGCGAACAAGTCGTTACTTTTTCCGATCATCGCTATCTTTATTATATTAATTGTAAAATGCAACACCGACTCTGAAACGAATATTTCGACAAAATTCGCTTCTCGTGTATATTTCGAGGAATGATACCTCTCTAACGAATCTACGCAAAATGTTCCGATACGTAGAAGGACCTTTGCGATTCGAATACATTTCTATGATTACATTTACGTTTCCACTTCAATATTTATTAATCAGAGGAATGTATCGGTTTTCACAATTCGTGGAAAACTTTCGTTTCTCTCGGAATCGACGCATTCCCAACGATCATTGGTGAGTGTCATCGAGGAATTCCTCATTTTTTTCATGAATCTTTGATGCCCAGACATGTGACATCGAAGAATGTAATTATCGATCATAGATTTCGACATCTATAACATACCATTTGATAACAATAATTCGTAACATCCAATTTATAAAGCTACATCAAAAGGACAGTTTTGCTAAAGCATCTAAAAATTTAACTAGATACAGATCTAAAAATAACTTCGTTTACTTCTCTTTAATAATAATTATGTAGTTGAACCAAAATAATTATGTAGGCTCAAACTCGTTGATAGAATGGCAAAACTTTTTATTGTTTATCATACTTGAGATTTTTATGTAATCATTTTGATGATTCAACAAAACCACTTTCGAATCTGTGTCCAACTAAATTTTTTAATATTTCTGCAAATATTTTAATATTTCTTTCGGTCAATCACATAATTATCTTTATTAAAATTTTACTTACGAGATTTTCATATAAGAGATTCCAATTCCGAAAATATACGTAACTTTTATTGTTGTTACATTTCCAATGAAATTGGACGCTTTATAGAAAAATGAAAAGTTGCTTCCAATAAACACCGAACACACATGTTTATAATAAAGCCACGAAGAATAATTCAAAATTGATAAGTTATTACTTGTCATCTGTTCACCATGCAGAGTCTCGTTTCTGAGATTCGCTTCGCCTATCGCGATATTTTCCCAGTTGCCGATTGAGAATCGTCAGGACGTCGATTCTCTCGAGTCACACGGCTCGCTCGCGACGCGCAATTCGCTCGTAAATCTCGCGCTGCTACAACAGCAAGGAGGCGGTTTCGCGTTCCTAAGTTGCCTCTTCCTCCATCGCGGTATCCGTCGTAAAGCTGTAGCCGTCCAGGCTCCTGTAAAATCCCACTTGATTCCGCTTGCGAGAGGCCGGGTTCGCTGCAACTGCTTCCGTTGCAGCGAACAACACGGCTGCAACGTGCAAAATTGGCCTCCGCGGTGTGAAATGCTTCTCGTCGACGCATTCACTAGCGATCTCCGTCGCGCATTCAGCAAGCTGTGATTTACCGTTTCCACGTCCGCGCCACGACGATCTCCTCTTGTAGAAGCATTGTAGGAGCATTCCAACGTGGCGAGCCATAAAAGCGGCCCTCGACCGCGAAAACTTTACTAGCGAATAGCAGATGCAAATCCGGAGCGACTGAAGTTCTCGGTTACTTGCTGATCGTACCGCGGAAACGACACTTGTACGTCATCGATCATGATTAAGAAAGTCTTGTATGCATTCCGACAGCAAATACGCCGCTAAGCGAAGATTTATCTTGATACTGTTGCGCTGTGCAGTGTGATCCAGACAGTGTCCCGTGCACTCGAACAAGATAGTTTGGTCAGGAAACATGAAGTACTTTGTACCGTGAATAATTTACATACCGAGAGGTAAATCTCCCAGATCATGGTGTAGAAATTCTAGGACTCATGACGGAATTGCTAATAGCGGATAGACTAGTAGAGGATATTATCGCAATACAGATTCAGGAAGTCTTATGATTTGAGTCACAAAGTAGAGCTCGGTTGCGGATAACTCACGTACCAAGATGCAAATTCGGAGCAGAGTTGAAGAGTCTCAATTTCACGTAGATTGTTCTCCCAACGTGACACTTGCGCACTGTGGATC